CCTATTATTCGAAACTTGAGTCACTTTTGACTATACCTATGAGGCTCACAACTTATTTGTTCAACAATTGAAGATTCTATTAATATAACTAAGTTAAGAGCTTGACTCTCATACTAACTATCACGATCGTAAATCTTCAACCGTGTGTCGTTGTGATCTTGGCACATTCACGACTAGCTTTAAGGGGGATTAAGCCCCTTTATATTTTTTGCCAAACTTTATAGTTTCTGTCTTGTTGTTTAGCTGGTGCAGAATCCAAGCTTACTCTCCTTCAAAGTTTTAATTTTGTGTTTAATAAATCTCTTTTAAATATAAAATTTTATGTTTTGTGAAAATTTAAAATAATATAAACCATTTAACTTTTTAATTTTTTTAATTTTTAATATTTAATTTTATGATTGAAAATCCCACCTACTTTCCCATATGATTGCTTTTCTATTTATTTATTATTTGTGAGTATATCCTAAGGACAAAGGTTTTTTTTTTTTTTTTTTTTTTTTTTCCAAAAATTTTAAAACTAAATTTATTTCAAGTAGAATTTATTTATTTAGTAAGTTTATTTCAGGTATTTTTTAAATAAATAAGTAAATTTATTCACTCATTAAAATTCATTAATTTCAATAAATAATTACTAATTTTTTTTTTGTGATGATATAATTGGACAGTACCGGCCATCCAGCGCGTACAACACACCGTTCTGCACGACAAACTCCGGCGCACCAATATGGAACAACACGGCCGTGATGTCCGTCGGCGAAAGGGGCCCCATCCTTCTAGAAGACTACCAACTCATCGAAAAAATCGCCACATTCACTCGCGAAAGAATCCCGGAGCGTGTAGTTCACGCGCGAGGAGCCAGCGCCAAGGGCTTCTTCGAAGTAACCCACGACGTCTCCGACCTATCCTGCGCCGACTTCCTCCGTGCACCGGGCGTCCAAACCCCCGTCATCGTCCGCTTCTCCACCGTCATCCACGAACGTGGCAGCCCCGAAACTGTCCGCGACCCACGTGGCTTCGCCGTCAAATTCTACACGCGCGAAGGCAACTTCGACTTAGTTGGCAATAACTTCCCCGTCTTTTTCGTACGCGACGCCATGCAATTCCCTGACGTCATCCGCGCGTTTAAACCAAATCCCAAATCCCATCTCCAAGAATCTTGGAGATTCCTCGATTTCTGCTCTTACCACCCTGAAAGCCTGCTCTCCTTCGCTTGGTTCTATGATGACGTGGGCATCCCTATTAACTACCGCCACATGGAGGGCTTCGGCGTGCAAGCCTATTCCCTAATCAACAAAGCTGGTAAAGCCCGGCTCGTTAAATTCCATTGGAAACCCACTTGTGGGGTTAAGAGCATGCTCGAGGAGGAAGCCATTAGAGTCGGCGGCTCCAACCATAGCCACGCCACTCAAGATCTCTATGAGTCCATTGCCGCCGGGAACTTCCCGGAGTGGCGGCTTTACATTCAAACCATTGATTATGAAGACCAAAACAATTATGATTTTGAGCCGCTCGACACGACCATTGCTTGGCCGGAGGATATCGTGCCGTTGCGACCGGTGGGGCGGTTGGTTTTGAATAAGAATATTGATAATTTCTTTGCTGAGAATGAGATGTTGGCGTTCTCCATGTCGTTGGTGCCGGGGATTCATTACTCGGATGATAAGATGTTGCAAGCTAGGAGCTTTGCTTATGCTGATACTCAAAGGCATCGGCTTGGCCCTAATTATCTTCAGCTGCCGGTTAATGCTCCTAAGTGTCCTCACCATAATAATCATCATGAAGGGTTTATGAACTTTATGCATAGAGATGAGGAGGTTGGTTTGTGATTTCATTTTGTTTCTTGAATTGGGTTTCTTTCGACATTGTTATTTGATGGGTTTTTTTTGGTTTGTTAGGTGAATTACTTCCCTTCGAGATACGATGCTTGTCGCCATGCTGAGAAGTACCCGATGCCGCCCAATGTGTTGAGCGGAAAAAGAGAAAGGGTTAGTGTTCGTTTTTTATTAGAGATGTTTATTTAGCTAGTAAAGACCCCGTCTCTGAAATGGAACTAAGATTTTCCATTTAGAGAATAAAGAGAGATTTCTCGTCATTATCTAAACTGGGTCGAGAACTATGATTTATTTCCCATCTCGAATGGAGCTAAGAATCTCCGTTTAGAGAATAGAGAGAGATTTCTCCTCATTATCTAGATGGGGTTGGGAAGTGTGATTATATTTCCCATCTCGAGTGCAGCTAAGAATCTCTATTTGGAGAATAGAGAGATTTCTCCTCATTATCTAAACAGGGTCGGGAACTGTGATTATATTTCCCATCTCAAATGGAGCTAAGAATCTCCATTTAGAGAATAGAGATAGATTTCTCCTCATTATCTAAACAGGGTCGAGAATTGTGATTATATTTTCCATCTCGAATGGAGCTAAGAATCTCCATTTAGAGAATAGAGAGACCTTTCTCCTCATTATCTAAACAGGGTCTAGAATCTCTCACCCACCTGAAAGAGATGAGGATGGAGAAGTCCCACCTAGTCCCATACCACTATTGACAATATTTGCTAAACTCACCACACTTAAATGATGGTGAAAATTATCTGTTTATAATTATTTACTGAATCAAATAAGTTACCAAGGAAATGGAAAGAGCAATAAAAGGATAAAAGATATTTGCTTATAATAATAAAAGTCAAATACTATACCTATATGAAACTACAGACTAAACATCTTCAATCATACCAGATACGATATCGTATATATATCTTCAAAACTATTTGTTGTGTTGGTGTTATCTTCAACAACTATGTTTTGGTGTGTTGTGTTAATAATGGAGTGAGTAGAGAGACAAGAATTAGTGGTGGGGCCTTAACTTTTTGACTTTTTGACAAATTTTCAGTGTGTGATTCCAAAGGAGAATCATAACTTCAAGCAAGCTGGAGACAGATACCGATCATGGGCACCAGACAGGTACCCACCAGCCCATACAGCTATATAATTTTCTATAACTATTTAGAACCAAAAGAGATCAATTTTCATAAAGCTTATTATATGTTAATCCAGGCAAGAACGGTTCGTGAATCGGTTCGTAGAAGCGTTATCGGACTCGAAAGTGACTCATGAGGTTCGTAACATATGGATCTCATACTGGACTCAGGCAGACAGGTCTCTGGGACAAAAGATAGCGTCTCGTATGAATGCGAGACCAAACATGTAAGAAATCCGACATTATTACGCCGCGAAGCTTCGGAATGTTTAAGATTAATATGCAAGAAGATCGTGTTCAACTATGCATAGGTAAGACTAAAGCTTGGGCCCCTGCGTTCAACTTTGTTGCTGTTTCTCTGTATGGCGGCTGACAAATGGGTGTGTTTTTATGCTTTGAATTCCTCCCTTTGGTCGCCTTTGTTGCTTCCTAAGAATAAAAATGGCTTCTTTTTCTTATCTCTCTATCGTTCAAACCTGCATGCAATGATCTTTGTATTGTATTCCTTAGATTATCGTAACAACGTTCTAGTTTCCATCGTTTGTGTTTGTCTCAATCTCTCTTTAATTATGATTTTCAAGTTTCTCTGTTATAGATGTGGTATAACTCAGGAAGCAAGCTCTCGTAAATACCTGCCTCGAACGGGATGAAATAGAAAGACAGTAGGAATAAATTTTTCTCTGTGAGCGAGATGGGATGAAAATTATATTTTGGTTCGTGTGTTCCTCTCCAACCTGGTCAAAATTAACTTATTATATATTTATATTATATAAATATATTTAGTTATTTACTTAGTAAAGAAAAGTATAAATGTTGGGGGATAAGATTCAATTTCTTAAGGTCATGGTCCCCCTAGTCGTCATGGTGGTGTGTGGGTCAACCATATACATAACCCGTGGTAAAGAAAAGTATAAACATTGGGGATAAGATTTGAATCCTTAAGGTCATGGTCCACCTAAATGTCGTGGTGCGATGTGGGTCAACCATATACGTAACTCTTGATGAAGAGGCGGTTAAAAGAAGATCGATTCGAGGGGTAGGAGTACTAAAAAGAAGAAACAACCTATGAGTTTAGTACTAGCCAAGTTGTGGTATGTTGTCTTCTTCCCTTCCATTCTTACTACCATGGTAGGTACTTTCGCTAGAGAACAGAAACATTAGAATGGGTTGGACATAGCACTACATCGATGCGAGTATTTTTCTCGCTTCCACATGGAGAGGTTGTGAATATGGACTAAATTTTGCGGAAATATCAAGACCTATTTAAAGATTTTGGAAGAATTTGAAGTTGTCTTAGGAACCAAACCGACCTAAAAAGTACTCACCATAGGTAGTAAAAGCACTTTGAGAGGTCAAATTAAGACAAATTTGTAATATCTATAGAAGCGTGTTATTAAAGTTTAGAATTGAGATGAGTTGATTAGAACGATTAAAAACATGTTAAATTTAGAATTGAAACCATTAAGATGCTTGATTTTTTAAGAAAACGACGAAACGAACTCAGGATTGAATGAAATCGAAATCATGATAAAGGTACAAATGTCTAGATTATTATACTATGTTCCTTAATGATGATATGTTTGAACATAATATGTTAATATTGCTATACGAGGACGAGAGTCAGGATAATATTTCAGAATTGACTATGCTTGATTTGTGCTGTGTGGAAACTATTAAGGGTTGACCGATTAGTTTCTTTTAGTTCATCTACCCGAGCAGAGGTCTATACTATCTTTGTAAGTTGATAGAGTTAGGGTTGGGTTTTAAAAATACATTGAACTTTTATGAGAACTTTATAAAAGCATTGTAGATGTGGTCAGGGGTCTTCAATCACTCATTAACCATGATTTGTTGAATATAGACGGCCTTCGTAAATGAGAGTTGGCTAGACTGAGGGTCATACCTCTAGAATTTGAGAACAATGTCCATAAGAGTATGATGAGACCTATGAGTTGTAATCGACGTCGAGGTTGCGCCTTAAAGACCTATTAGCTTTAGTTCTATGATAATGGTGAGGATGATGATGACCAAGATACCTTAGGTACTTTTATATGGATCACATCTACAAACTTTTTTAAAAAAAAACAAAAAAAAAATATATATATATATAATACAAAAGCACTTAAATCAGCCAATAGTTGAAGCCCACGTTAGAGGGATTGAAAATCTAAATGGGCCTCCAAATGGAAATACATTGGGCTTAGTGTGGCTGGAGGAGTGAGGCCCAAAGTCAATGAGATATGGGCTTCCTAGCTTTTGATTTGGGCTTCTTATTGGGCCTGTCTGTAAAGGTACTGATTTCTTCTAGAGTCACCAAAACCTCTTCCATGGAGGGCCGATCTCTGGGGTCCATTTTCAAACATTTTAAAATCAGTTCAGATGTGCCCCAGGCTCCTCCGGGCGAGTAGTCGTCCCCAAGTCTTGGGTCCATTAGTTTCGTCATCTTCTTCTTGTTGCTCAGTGATGGCTTGGCCCACTTCACCAAGTTGTGAGACTTACTTGGTCGGTTTGGGTCCACTGCCCGCATCCCGGTCAGGAGCTCGAGGAGCACCACTCCGAACCCGAACACGTCGCTTTTAATGTACAAATGTCCTGTTCAATTGTTGTCGAGGTTGTGAAAAGATTCGAAAAATTCAAGTTGGTTCGTGAGTTGATATTTTTTTGTTGGGTCAACCTGGCCAACTTGGAAATAGGGTTACGATACAGCCAAACTCTATTATTAAGATTATTGTGAAAATTAATAATATTTTACTTGTATAAGATTTTAGTTACTTGTGGATAAGTATGCATTTTTAAAATAATTAAGAAACAGCTCAGCTCGACTGTTGATGATGAAAGTCTCATATTGGCTAATTTAGAGAATGATCATAGATTTATAATCAAAGAATACTCTCTCCATTAATATGAGACATTTTGAGAAAGCCCAAAGTAAAGGCATGAGAACTTAACTCAACAACTCAAAATATATACCCGTACATGTGTCATAATTTTAACCTACACGATAATTTCCAGGGAAATTTCTTGAAGGGTCTATTTGGAATTTACTCAAAAGTTCAGGGGTATTAAAGTCATTTTGAAAAAAAGAGGAGAGGGAAGGTAAATAATACCACTAGCAATGTACTCAGGGGCAGTGTAGCCGCAGGTGCCCACTGGATCCGTGCTGACGTGGGAGTAACCATTGGATGGGCCCAGTTTCGCCAGCCCAAAATCTGACAATTTTGGGTTGAAATCCTGAAATAACATTTTTATTTTATATTAAACATAAAAATCAAAATAATTATTAAAAAAACAAAAATAAATTAATAATTAATAGTTACCCAGTCCAGGAGAATATTAGCCGCTTTCAAGTCGCGGTAAATCACGCTCTTCTCCGACGTATGGAGGAACTTCAACCCACGCGCCGCCCCCACCGCTATTTTAATCCGCGTTTCCCATGACGGTGGCTCAACACCCTCTAAAAAAATAAAAAATAAAAAATAAATAAATAAAAAGGACTTTTATTTAGTCAAATTAGAAGGGCAAAACCGGAAACTCACTTCGAAATATATGATTCTCCAAACTACCCCTCTCCATGTACTCATAAATAAGGAGAAAGTGCTTGTCTTCCCAGCAATAGCCGATTAATTTCACGACATTTGGATGGGTAAATTTCCCCAAGAATTCCACTTCAGCCTATCAAAATTACCCACAAAATTATAATAAAAATAAAAATAAAAATAAAAATAAAAATAATGAGCTGGAAATTAATAAACCTTCCATTCACGGAGGCCCTGAGAGCTGTCGGGATTTGACTTTTTAACGGCGACAGGGATGCCAACGCCGACCTTAGACGGTGCGTAGGTGTTCCTATCGACCCAGCCTTTGAAGACCCGCCCAAATCCGCCCTCTCCGAGCAGCGTGTCCGGCCGGAAATTCTTGGTGGCCGTCTTCAACTCTGAGAGAGTGTAAACTTTAAGGTCGAGCGGCGTGGAGGAGGCGCGTGGTATGGATGTGAGGTGGCCGGGGGAGGAAGGCTTGGTCGGAGGGAGGGAGTGGGCGTCGACGGGAGTGCCGCAGAGGTTGCCCATGGAGGGAGGCTCGGAGCTTGCTTCGAGGCTTAGGGATGGAATGGGCTTGATGGAGTATATAAGAAGATGTCGACACAGTTCTGCGAAGGACACTAGAAATTACGCCCCCAACCCTTGTCTTCCAGTTTGACTTGTTCTACCACGTAAAGTGAACTCGGTCCGGTCCGGTCCGGTCCTTTAGTGTCCCACTCCCACGTGTCTTAAAATTATTTTCCATTACTTTTTAAATATATATATATATATATATTCTTTCAACTAAGTCAATGCTCACATCTATGCTTCTCCACCAGGTTTTTTTTATTTTTTTTATTTTTTTTATTTTTTTATTTTTTTATTTTTTTATTTTTTAATAAAAAATCGGCCCATTCAATGATTAACTTAACCCTAATTAATTTTTTTTTAAATCACCAAACTTTTTTGTCAATTTGTTAAACATAGTATACAATAGTATCCTGTTCGATTGGATTGGAGAAATTGATTGGTGACTCGAGTAATTTGAACAAAGTTCACAACCAATTCAACTCGACTTGAAATTTTTGAGTTAGGTTGGATTGGATTGTCGGTTTTATTTTTTTTAATTGTTTAAAAAAAAATCTTAATTATCATTGAAACTCAAATATTAAATACTCACACGTCATAATGTATTACTAATATTGGTTACAAGCATCAAATATTCTTAATTTTCATCGAGTTAAAGTAGTAGGGTAGGGTTAAAATTGGATTGTGACTCTATTTTTGGGTTAGTTGAGCTGACCCAACAAAAAAAAAAATGCAAACCCACAAATCCAACCAAAAAATTCGACCCAACCCAAATGTAAAAAAATCTAACCAAATTCAACAAAAGAAAAAAAAAATTAAATATTTAGAGTTTATGTTTTGATGTGCACACTAATATGTCGAGAGTTAAATATGAATTTACTTTTACCAATTTTCTATGTATGAATGAGAACTAAGCTTTAGAGACATATCATTAATATAATACCAAACCGTTTATAAATGATATGAATGACATCAACATTTTATTAATAGGTCGAGACATTATTGTTAAAAAAATTCATGAATATTCTTTTTATACTTTAAAATAATTATAGATATTAATGATCGAAAATTTAACCATACTTTTTAATTATTATTATTATTTTTAACTTACGAATATAAAAAAAGGACACTTATCCTTTGAAGTGAGGGATGGAGGGGTTCCATTAGATTTGGAAGATCTAAGACTAGGAATGTTTTAAAATAAATAAATAATAAAAAAGAAAATATAGATAATGTCAAGTGGGCCCCAGAACGAACCATTATCATTATCTCATAAAAAAATAAAAAGAGTAAAAATAATATAAACTAATTCAATAATTAAATAATAAAAAGACATTGCATTAGTGACTCAGCACCAAAGCAATTTATTTCTAGAATTATATTTTGGGGTCAAATTATATAATAATAAGTCTTCAATTTTAAAAGGGAACTAAAAATTAATTAATTAAAAGATTATAGCTATTAAAATATATTTTATAGGACCATAATTCAAGCTCCAAATTTACTATTAAATCATTGAATTAGACTAGTAGGGCAAAAAGAATATGCATTTTTAATAGGATAATAATAATAATAATAATAATAATAATAATAATAATAATAATAATAATAATAGGATAAAAAAGTACTATTGAAATATTTTTTAAACAAAAATAAAATAGTGCATTAGAAACTCATTTTCTTCATAAATGTGAGAAAATTTCAACACTTACCTCTCAATCAATCAATTTTCAAAGATTTGTCCTTAGGCTCGTTACCGAGATTACTCAACTTAATGACCTAACGACCCCTTGAACGGGGGTTGCTCGGTCAAGTCAACCCAACCCCTTCCCCGCCCGTCGTTGTTCAGTAGTCAATTCACTGGTTCCTCATTTACATTATTCTAACAAACCAGCACCACACACAGTCTTTCTTTCTTTCCTTCTTTTCTGTAACTTAGGTGGTGCCTTAACTTTCACACCTCAGGGGACTCTCAACTTTTGCTGTTTTCTTTCGGTACACATGTTTCTAGACTTAGAAAATGAGTACACATCTTTCTACTCATTTGATACTTTCTATCTTTCTATCTGATAGATTGTTCGATGGAATTTCTTAGGTCTTTAGGGTCGGTGTATGTGAGATCCCAAAAGAGGACAATATCTAGCAGCGATGAGCTTGGGCTCTTAAGCTGGTATAAGAGCAAGACATCGGACAGTGGGCCAATGAAGACGCTGGCCCCATAAGAATAGATTGTGAGATTCCACATCAATTGGTATAAAGGTGTATAAACCTCTCCCTAGAAGACACGTTCTAAAAACCTTGAGGAGAAGCTCGAAAAGAAAAACCCAAAAAAGACAATATTTACTAGCGGTGGACAGACAAATCCGTCCTCTAGCTATAAACAAAGAAACTTCAGACACAAGCATCATCAATCTATCCCGCTAGCTCTCTCAAAGGCAAGTCGTCTCGATAACGAAACTTTTGGAAGCTTTTCCTAATTCATACACGAAACTCGAATAATAATAATAATAATAATAATAATAATAATGTTGCAAGAGGCAAGATGCTTGTATTATTCATATCATAACTCACATTTTTCCAATATAGAAAAGAGAGGTGGTAATGTATTGCAAAGAAAAAAGAGATTCAGGGATCCTCTTACAAAACTACACATATGGTTTCCAATTACGAGTATTATTCATCTACAAATACATCCGAGCAAAGACAATGATATGTACCTTGGAATGTCCCAAGTAGCTTTCGCGGTCATCGAGCTGAACTGAGCTTATACAAACTTAAAAATACAGCAGAAAATCGATATGTACCTTTAACTGATATTCTTTCTGCGACGTAGGCGTAAAACATGTTCATTCACGACGTTCCTTCTCCTTCAAATCGAATCGAATCGAATCAAATACTTGTACGTAGCTTTGTACAGGTTATATACCTATCCTTTGAATCGGAATATATTACAATAAATATAACATATGCTTCACAATGCTTTTATCTTACACGTTTCACGACATGACTAGGCACCTGAAAGAAAGCACGTTTACAAAAAGGAAAGACTCATATCAGTCACAGAAGACGGTCGGGTTAATAACACCGAAAAAAGTGAACTTTGTCCTAATCCCTAAAAGATTACAGGGCATATCGAGGAGCTGATTATAAGAGCGTATTAACAATCTCGAAAAGATCTTCACCTCTCGAAGTTTGAATTCAAGCGGTTAACTCGTTTCTGGTTTCCCGTTCTTAAAATCTACACGAATTTTAACAATCAAGACACAATTGAGTAGAGACCCACCCCCTAAATAATTCCCTCTCTCGTCCTCTTGGATATTAACAGAGGAACAAAAAATAGAAGATCGTCGTATGCATATAAAAATAGGATTGAATGCTTTAAAAGAAACTCGATATGTCGGATTCCTTACGTGGCTTTTTCGGCAGCTTCTGTATAGCAATCTCCAAACAGAAGTTCAGGGATTTCAGGGAATCCCTGATTCTTGGGCATTGATGTCTTCATTATGTTGTGAAGGTGATAATTGTGATGAACCGAGAATCTTAACATGGCGTAGTTCTTGTAAATAACTCTGAGAAACCAAATACTCGAGAGCTACAACAATATCACTAATAAGAGGGCGAAACGACGGCTGTTCCTGAAGACACATTGCAGTAATCGCAACGGCGTGTTGCAAACAACGAAGTGGGAAGTGTCCTTCCAACAGGGGATCGACTAATTGCACGAACTTTCTGCGATCCTTAAGTAAAGGACGAGACTGCAAATTGAATGAAACCGATGTAAAAGGTGGACAGATGTGAAGAGTAATATAGAATCATTGAGCAAAAAAGTTCAGTAAATTACTAACCCAAACAACTAGGTTCTGTTCCCCTGGTTTCCTTTTAGAATCAATAACCCTGCGCCCCGTAATAAGCTCGAGCATAACCACACCAAAGCTGTAAATATCGGATTTAAGGGTTAATTTGCCGCTCATGGCATACTCTGGAGCACAATATCCATACGTTCCCATTACTCTCGTTGAAACGTGAGTATTGTCACCAACAGGTCCTAATTTAGCTAGCCCGAAATCTGAAAGCTTAGGATTGAAATCATTGTCCAATAAGATATTAGCCGACTTCAAGTCACGGTATATGACTGGGGGATTTGCTTTACAGTGGAGATACTCGAGGCCTCGGGCAGCAGCGACTGCAATCTTGATCCTTGTATTCCAACTCAGTGGCTTTTTGTCAGAATTCAAATCTGAAATAAAGAAAATTCACCATGAAGGTACCAGATTAGATAATTAATTTGATTCTTTACTTCTTTCTATAGATCTATATCAATTCAACATAATAATTTCCCCTTAGAAAAATAACAAGTTAACAATGAACAAATGAAGCATTTTCTTATCGTACATGAAATTTTGGAGTTATTAAGATACCGTAATCGCTAGGCTGATTCACCCAATTCAACGGCCAACTTGGTCCTGGACAAAGTTGGGCCAGGTCCCTCCATATTCCATGTATATGATTATAGTCTGGATATTCACATGATCATACACTATAAATTTGACAAAACAGATGATAGAGCTTGCAAAAAGGAAGATGCAACTTGGATAGGAACTAATAGCATACAATTTCTTTTATTTTTTTAGAACCAAAATAGCTCTAGGCAACCGCCCAAGCCCACTACTAGTAGATATTGTCTTCTTTGGACTTTCTCTTTCGGGCTTCCCCACAAGGTTTTTAGAATGTGTCTACTAGGGGGAAATTTCCACACTCTTGTAAAGAATACTTCGTTCTCTTCTCCAATCGATGTGGGTTCTCACAATTCATCCACCTTTGGGGTCCAGCGTCCTCGCTGGCACTCGTTCCTCCAATCGATGTAGGATCTCATAATTCACCCCCCATCGGGGCCTAGCGTCCTCGTTGGCCCACCGCCCAGTGTCCACCCTCTTCGGGGCTCGAGGTTCTCGCTGGCACACCGGCCGGTGTCTAATACTATTTGTAACAGCCCAAGCCCACCGTTAGTAAATATTGTACTCTTTAGGCTTCCTCTCAAGGTTTTTAAAACGCGTCTGCTAGGAGATATTTCTACA